TGATGACAACCATCCACTGCCAACAGGTAGAAAGCTTACTGGACCCATTTCCAAACACCAGCCACCTTAAGTAGGTAAAGTAAGGTCAACTTTATCGGGACAAACAAGGCATGAAAAAAGCCACTCACACTCCATGGATCCGTTTGTGAATGTTGATGGTATATTCCCTAGTCACCACCTCATTGATGGCAGATCTCCCCTTCTTCTTTTCTCCACCTTTCTTTGCTGGAGCCATCTGTGCAACATTGAAAATCACAGACTCGGTGTGGGCCTTTCCATCAAGTCATCTCTAACCCTTTCCCCCTCGCACATTAGGGTTTCTACAGTCAGAAGTCTAGTTCAGCGTAATCCACCTTTTACAGAGCACTAGCCTTGCAGGTTTCAAAACATGCAGCTTCAGTGTTACAACTCCATGATTCTCCCCCCCCCCCCCCCAGGCCCTACTGCAAGGTGCTGCACCACGCCTCAGTTTGCTTACCCCTTCCCCCCCATGCTCACATGACACCCCGAAAGCACAGAACCAGGCTTTTACACTTGGCTCCAGCTTCCGGGGCACTCAGGAAAACCCCTTGGCCCTGCCCTCAAAACCTGGAGCAAACCCTAGCACTAGAGATGCCTCCTACTGCTAAAAAGCACCCGCACCTCTCCCATCCGCCCTATACAAGGCCTGGGGCCCAGCCCCGTGCGGGCCCCTGTGCCCACAGCCCTTCTCCTCCCCTCCCCCGCCAGCCCGGGCCCCTGTGCCCACGGCCCCTCTCCCCCAGCCCAGGCCCAGGCCTTCCCCCCCCCCCCCCCCCTGCCCCGGGCCGGCAATACCCGGTGCCCCGGGGGCGGGGTCCCCTCGCCACTCGGGCCGGGCGGGGCCCGGGGCTCGACGAGGACCCGGCGGGGCGGATGGCGGCGGATGGGCGGGCGGGCCCCGTAACGAGCCACTCACCCTGCCCGGGCACAGATCGGAAAGGAAGGCGCGGGGGATTGTGGGACGAACCAAACCGGAGGGGGCGGGGGGAAGCGAGGAGCACTTCCGGGTTGGGGGAAAGGCGGGACTGCGCCTGCGCGGCCCGAAGAGGCGGGGACCGGCGGTTGCAGGCAATGGGAGGCCGGCGGCGGCGGCGGCGGGGACGCAGGATCGGGCCCTGCCTGCCGGGAAGGCGGAAGCGTGGGAGTTGCTGGGCAACCTGGCAACCCTACAATAACAATCCCGCCCGCGAGCGCCCCGTGCAGCCTGGGGCGGGCTTAAAACGCGGGGGGTTCGCTGGGCGCTTGGTCCGTGTCCCGGGGGCTGCAGGAGGCTGGGGCGCGAGTCCAGCCTGTCCCTCGAGCCCCGGGAGCGGATCTTCTCCTGCCGTCTGCGGAGTGCAGCCTTTGCGGCTTTAAGCAAATCACCACGAGACTTTCAAAAACAAAACAAAACAAAAAACAACAACGTGGGAGTTGATGGGTCTCATAGTCCAGCAATCCAGTGTCGTAACCCAGCAACCCCACAGTAACCCAGTGTTGTAACCTAGCAACCCTGCACTAACCCAGTGCAATAACCCAGCTGCTGTACAATAACCCAGTTCACTCTTTCAGCAACCCTACAATAACAACACTGCACTGCAGCACTCTGAGAATAGTACGGCTATGTTATAAACTACAGCTTACCTCAGCCTAGCTGTGTACAATAAATCAACCCGCAGTAATAAACCCAACACAGCATAACTGTCCTACAGTTAACAGCACAGCCTGAGTGCTGTATAATATCAGCTCTACAACCCTAAAATAATAAAACGGTGCAGCATGATGACCCAACAATAATAATAGCCCAGTGTAGTGTAGCATTTTTACAGTAATAACCCAGTTTAGGCCTACAATAATAACCCAATACAATAATAACCCATGACTGACTACAGTAACAACCCCTACTGCATTATAGCCTTATAACAATAAGCCAGAGCACTGTGCCTGCACTGCAATAATGACGCCTATTCCACTTTCTTCTTGGACTCCAGAGGGCTGATCCGCTGTCACCGGATAGACAAGCTGATGCCGTCCCCGCCACCTGTGCTCAAGGCGAAGAAGCTGCTGGTGGCCGCTCTGGTTGGCCTGGGCCTGTTGGAGCACAGACCCTCTCTGCATCTACTCTTATCTGCCCTGGCTGGCAAACAGCAGGGGGTGCCAGGGGGCTACAGGGACAGCTGAGCCAGCCCCGGATGTTGTGACTCTTGTGAGCTGATGTCGCCTCAACGCACAAAGCCTGGCCCGCCGGCTCCACTGCATGGTCTGTGCCCTGCCCCCTCCCTGCCAAGCACTGTAAAGAACCACTTGTAACTTAACTGTACATAATAAAGCCGTGTGGAGAAAAAAAAATAAACCAGTGCAGAGCGACAGAGAGCCCTAAAGCAGTAAATTGGCATAGCATGTTACAATTCAAAATGGGGCTGGGATATGCAGAAGTGAGCCCGACAGAGTTTGAGAAAGGATGGACATTGGCCCTCAATCTATTCTTATGAGCATCATATTCCTGTATAACAGTTAACCGGAAATCAAGCATGGCAAGTTTATAGTTCCCTCCTGTAAACTACTGGTTTTTGCCCCTGGCTATAAGATTCTGACAAACAAGATTATTGACTGCAGAAATTGACTGGTTGAGGGGAATATTGAGAGTTTCAAGACCGGGGTGCTGGAACAATTTTTATAATGGGGGTGCTTCCCGCATTGGCCTGGATGGCAAACCCCGGCCAGTGGGAGCCACGATCGGCTGAACCTGTGGACGTGGCAGGTAAACAGGGTGCTTACCATGTGCCAGATGTTGCCGACCCCTGCTGTAAACCCTGTATGTAACTGAAACCACTTCTAGACAGAGGGTGCGGCAGCACCCCTCCCTTGTTCCAGCACCTATGGTTAAGTCTACACCAAATAAAAAAAAAGAAGTAATAAGAAAATGGCGAGGGCAAGAAATAACACTGTTACAGAAGATTTAAAAAAGACAACTGGGATGGTTTTGACACGTGATATTTGACATGGTGAGACATACCAGAGTGTAAAGAACTAGAATCAGAGGAAGACTAAGGATGCCTTGGCTAGACACTGTGAAGAATGACAGAACAAAAAGTGATTAACGATGAGTTAAGCCGTGAAGCTGATTCAAGACAGAAAGTGGTGGAAACACTTCATGAGCCCATCAGCGCTGTTGATCTGGAGTCAAAGAAGGAAGGGAGCATGGCCAGAGCACCTTGCACTCTGGTAATCCCTGCCAGTGCAACAGCCCTTTGGCTTCAGTTGTAGCCACCATAACTTAGAGCAGTGGTTCTCAAGCATATTTGATAGCACCCCCTCCTCCTTTGTACCTGGAGCAGTTTATCCCTCCCCCGCACCTTCAGGTGCCTGGCCAGCAACCACTGCTCTCCATCCGCACAGCTCTGAATGTGCACAGTAAGTTCCACCCCCCCAGCTTCTCACGCCCCCTGCCGCCCAGAATACATTCCGCCCCCTCCAATTTGAGAACCTCTGGGTTGGGGCAGCCCTCAAGCTGCTTTAATTTATGGCAGAGGCAAAACAGTCTCTAGCTGTCTCCAGGATCAGGAAAGCACTAACAAAGCTTTAAGCCATATTTTTGTCTCCTACCCCATGGCTACCGTGGCTAAAACTAAAACCTTGGCTCTGCCCCATAGTGTCTTGAGAATTTTAAGTGAAATGATATTTCCCGATGAGGAACTAGTTACCTATAGGTACAAGTTTAATGTTGTTATCTTTTGGGGCTTCCTAAAGCAGTATTATTCTGGTTACCTGTGATGAAACAAGGAGAGGAACAACTGTCAGAATAGGTTTTTTTGGAAACAAACATCAAACAGTTTGTAAGGTTACAGCGAGCCTTTCAGGTCTAAATTGAATTATATAGTTAAACCGCCATAGGAAGGAGAATGTATGTAAATTCTGTAGTAAAACTTTTCAGTTACTTTATTATGCTCCAGAGCAAATACAAATGTGCATTATTAAATGGAAAGAAAAAAATTATTTGAGGATGTATATAGCATGAAACAGCAGCTCCCGTCACAAAAATGTTACTAATTCATTAATTTATTACTAAATAGCCACTCACAAAAATAAATAAATAAAAAGCACAAGCAAACGTTTATACTTGTGAAATGAGTTGATATTTCATATACAAAATAATTTCCACATAATTCCATATAATTTTATTTTATATAGAAATAGGTCATTATTACAACAGCTGTACAATACACTACTTTTTATTTTATAATTACATAAAATCTTTCTTAGAAACATAAAACATACAAAAAAGCGAAAAGTGCATTTTTTTAAAGGAAAATTCAAATGTTATCATGAAAAAAATATGTGATAATTTGCAGCATCCCTAGTCATTGGGCCAAAACACAGTGCATATTTTTCTGATACTTGTTGCTATGACCAGTTGTAAGTGGGCTGTTCATTTTGCAGAAAGACCCACTTTATATTAGCAAAGAGTCTACTAGAATGCTGGAACAATACAGCTGCATGATTGTGCTTATATTTTTAGTTCTCCTTCGCAGTCACAATTCACAGAGTAAACAGGAAACAGTCCAGTGTTTTTTGTTTTTAATCAAAAAGAGCTGGTAGGGTAAACTGCTTTAATACCTTTAGGTTATAAATCAAGGGGTATGGATTGTGTAGCATTTTTAACTGTGACTGGGCTTTCTGTTTAATTGGATGTACCAGTCTGGCCACCAGAATAACAAAACAAACCTCTCTTTATAGAAAGTGCCTAGGTTATATCTTCTGTGCAGTTGTGCAAAACAACGATAATAATCATAATAAAAATAATCTCTTGTTCTCTGCTCTATAGATTTTTGTTCCATTGCTTTTCTTACACAAAAGATGAACTGAAACAGTGTAGGCCAAGTACCTCATGTGTCTGTCCACAGTCTTTAGGAATCAGAGTGCTCTCAGAATGATGTACCAACAAGAATGTTCTCCTGCCGCACAGCAATCAGTGATGGAGTTTGCACAGGATAGTTTATTTTACTCAGCCTGATGATACATAATATTGTCATGAAACAGTGCAAACTGAATCCAACTCCTTTTCTGTTGCATTGTCTGCTGCAGGCCGCACTCTGGTCTGCTACTGCCATGGAGCTTTGAAATGAATGCATGTGCAAAAGTCAAAATTGTAGGTTCAGTCATTTCTTCTCTCCTGCCCCACAGGTCTATTGGTTATAGCTAATCGTGCATTGATTCTGCTGGTGTGGGACTCTATCATAGTGGCTGTGGTAGATTTGATGATTCTGACAAGCTACAGGTTCTTCTTGAAGCAAGTGGCAGTGGCTGCTGCTGTGTATGAAGGTATCCTATATTTCCTTGCTGCTGTGAGTAGGACGGCAGGAGCAAAGAATTGGGTTGCTCACTGTGTAAAGGACTTGGTGTCTGCACCTACAGATAAAAGAAAATTCATTTGCGTGATTTGATACAAAAGTTCTTGTTTCTTAATGTGAAAGGTATTTTAGGAAATTATTAGTTTGCAGCCTTATTCTTAGACTAAATATTTCATAGACTGTGTCCTGGTATTGGTTAGCTTAGGTAATAGGGCCTGATCCTGCACCATTGAAGTCAATGGGAGTTCTAAAATTGACTTTAATGGGAATAGGATCTGTCCAATAGCACAGAAGTGGCTTTTCCATCAGATTTTACATCCCAAGATTTTTGAAATCAATGGAATTTTGCTATTGTCTTCAGGGGGGAGGGATAGCTTGATGGTTTGAGCATTGGCCTGCTAAACCCAGGGTTGTGAGTTCAATTCTTGAGAGGGGCCACTTAGGGATCTGGGGCAAAAAAAAATCAGTACTTGGTCCTGCTAGTGAAGGCAGGGGGCTAGACTCAATGACCTTTTCAGGGTCCCTTCCAGCTCTATGAGATAAGGTTTGGGATCAAGCTTTACAGGCCCAATTCAGCTGAAGTTAATAGGAAGACTCCTGTTGACTACAATATGGGTTGGATTAGTCCCAAAGAATAAATCAATTAGCTGGTTGATATTACCTGGTTCTTTCAAGCTTGTATGCTCCTTGCCCCCTTAAGGGGGAAATATGGGTAAAAAAAAGAAGGTGGTTTGTTTATTTATTTAAATAGGGATTACTGTGAGAGAAGAGCTATTCAGGGAGTCTTTTTCCAGGGTGAGAAAAAAAGCATAGAGAGCACAGCACAGAAGCTATTAGAGTCCATGAAACAAGATGAAATCCTTTGGAGGGCATATTAGATTTAGAAATTGGCTTTTGGCTTCAATATCTGATCAACCCATTTCCAGTCCAACCCAGCTGCACTTTATACTAGTATATATATTCCTGATATGGGTAGTTCTTTGGTCTGTGATGACTTATTTAATAATAACTATAATACTTTGCTCTTCCATATCATCTTTCAGGATTTGCGAGCCTTTTACAAACATTAATTACTACATAAAACACTCCTGTACAGTAAGTATCCTTAGGCCCATTTTGCAGATGGACAGAAATTAAACAGTTTGCCCAAGTCACGCAGAGAGACAACGGCAGAGTTAGGAATAGAACTCCGGAATTCTGATACCTAGCCCCCGTCTAATCGTTATAAAATGTCCTGTTCCTCACCACTGTTGAAGTCCTTTGCCTGACATGCATCTAAATCTATTAAATAAAGTGAATTGATGTTTCATATACAGTTATTTCCAGGGTTGCACTCAACTCAGTCGAAGTTGTAGCTTCAACACAACTATAGTAGCTGGATTCTGTTTTGGCTTAGCACATCAGCAACAGCACTATCACCTGAGTTCCACCTTCAGAAACTTTAATGCAGAATGTGATGATGTAAAAGATAGTAAAAAAAACCACCTGGATTTTCAGATCTCATTTCAAATTTGTGGTACTGGCAGTTAGAAAAAGCACAGTTAGAAAAATCATCTTTTGACTTGTAAACTGAGGAAATTTAATACAGAAGCAATGAGACACTAAAGTTTAACCCCATGATGACAATTTTCTGACTGACTGTGACTGTGATTTAAGTACATTTGGGTTTGCCATATTAATTTTCCAATTTACAGTATTGGTATTTTTTTTTAAATATTTAATTGGTGTGTTTGAAAGGTTCACATAACATTTCAGGTCCTTATTTAATTTCTATGATATTTGCAAAATTTAACATCTTTAGTATGGAAATCTATGTAGCACATGCCCAGTCATGTTCCCAATGACGTTTATGGCAAAACTTCCACTGACTTTGGTGAGAGCATGATCAGACCCCATTTGTTCTGCCATCTAAAGATCATAAGTTCTTTACTGCTTTGCATATTATTGCACAGATACAAAGTGTGTATTATCCTTTCTGTTCTAGCCCACCTGAAGGTAGCAATGCTGCTGCTGTTGCTGGAGTTGCATAGGTTGCAGAGATGATGTCTGAGAAGGCTGTGATGCAGAAAACCCTGGATGTAACACTGCCTGTCCCATCAGCACTATAGGTGAACTGCTGCTGGAAGTTTGCAGTTCCAGACTTTGAAACAATTGTTGGTTTTGAGAATATCTATTTAAAAAAAATCAAGAATAAACTGTTGAAAAATCAGATGTGATGTCAGGGTACTAGGGCTAAAATCCTTATCCTTAAAATAGTGTCACTGGACCTTTAATGATAGGGACCTCAATTTCAAACTCATCTGAAAGACAGCACCTCTATCTGCACGTTTCCCCGAACAATATGTTGAGGAACTGGTTCATTACTGACTCAGAGGAAAGAATGCCAGCTAATGAATTATCAGCCTAAAATCCTGCATCTTCTTAGGTTTCCTGAAACATCTCCGATTAACATAGGGTTCAGTTGTGAGCCACCTTACAGATTAGGCTTGGCACAGATTATAAATTCTCCAGAACAAGGTCGGGGGAGGGAATGGGAAAGGGAAAGGAGGAAGACCAGGAACAAGATTGTGAATGAGAAATTGAGCACAGCTATGTTTCCCCCTTTGGTTTGGAAGGAATGAAAATTAATTTGGTTCATTTAGCAGCTTCTCATGTAGCACCGAGATGCTGGGCACCTAGTTCTTCTCTCACTTGCACTTGGGTAAATCAGGAGAAACTCCACTGATATCAGTGGAGTAAATCAGGGCCGGTGTAACCACTAGGAGAACTAGGCGGCTGCCTAGGGCACCAAGATTTGGGGGTGCCAAAAAGCGGTGCCCCCCAATATTTTTTTAACACTATTGCTCCCTGCGGGGGGACGGGCTGCTTGCAGCTGCGTTAGCACCTACCTCTGGGGGCATCCTCTGCAACCGCGGGCCCTGCCGCCACGCCCCACATCACTGCCCGCCCGCGCCTCCCCTGCTAGCCCGGAGCCGCCTCCTCCCCAAGCCCCCAGGCTGCCTTTGCAGGCTCAGTCCTGGCTCAGTATTCGAAATAAATTGCCCTGAGTTTCAGAAGTACTGAGAACCCCAGAGTTCCCACAGACATCGGGGGAACCGCAGGTGCTCAGCATCTCTGAAAATCAGGCCCAGAATGACACTGATGCCTCTGCCCTGGGCCAGAGCTCTCTGAGTAAGGGGCTTCAGCAGCAATTGGCGTAGGGCAGAGTAAAGCAACCAGGACGGTCAAGACGGAGGCTGGAACTCTGTCTTCGCCTCACATCTGTGGGGAAGACAGGCCTTCAGACACCCCCTCCCACCTGCACTGCACTATCCAGCCCAGGAGCAAGGAACCATTTCACACCTTAGCGCTGGGGGGAGCTGAAGCCCAGAACGGGGAAGTAAGTTGCCTGAAGTCATCCAGTGAGTTGGTGCCAGGGTGGAGAATAGAAGCCAGATCCCGACTCCCAGCTCTGTGCTCTGATACCCAAAACAGCCCTTTCCAGATCCATGGGGGGGGGAGGGGGGAGGAGGCAGGAGGGACTCTAGCCACATGCAGGAGACCCAAGGCCATTTATTTTCATTAAATATGTAGACTAAATAATGAAATTAATAATTTTTCAAGCCGAACGTGTATTAATTCTAATGAACAATGCCACATTATGCAGCATTCATTTGTGAAAGTTTATAATAAGTGATGCTCCAGGGGGAGGGGAGCGGGAGGGTGGGCGCAAGGTGGAAGTTTTGCCTAGGGCGCAAAATATCCTTGCACCAGCCCTGGTGGAGTAACACTGATGTCAGACTAGAGTGAGAGGAGAATCAGGCCCTAGCAATTCAAGGTGGGTCAGTACTGACGCTGAGCTCAGATATTTAGTATATTTCCTCGTACTCATTTTGGTGGATCAGAAACTCAGCATTGGGACAAGTACTAAATGTGTGAGAGAGAAACAAAGAAAGGTTCCCTATTCTTGGCTTGCTGAAATCCCACTAACACATTCTGTTTCTCACAATAGTAATTTTAGACACTGAACCGACCAGAAAGGGTAAGATTAACCCTAGAAGCCTCGTACTCAAAGAGAATCAGAACTGATGTTTACTAGTACTGGCAGATCTCATTATAAAAGGCCACGCTCTCTCAAAAGTCACTTCAGTGCTTTATTTTTCACAAGTAACATACTTAGCCTGGCGTCCAGCCACACTGATATCTGAAGCGAGTCTTGAATTACAGGAGCCAGGCATCATTGGCTGAATAGGCTGGCTGAGCAACAGTCTTGCACATGGGAGAGAGAAGAACTAAGTTACTGCATGAACATGTATTCCAACTCACAATCTAGTTCTCGGTGATCTATTGATTTTTAACCCATTTTTTCTTTCAAGGCATACGTATTTTCATCCTAGTGCTGTGATTTTCAATGTTTTTTCATGTGAGGACCCCCTACAAAGTTTTGAATGGCGGTGTGGACCCCTTTGGAAATCTTGAACATAGTCGGCGGACCCCCAGGGGTCTGCAGACCTCAGGTTCTAGTGCCTTTCACTCCACAACTTGTTAACATACCTCACCCTCCTTAGTGTTCAGAATCCTCATCTATCATGTAGTAAAATGAGAAATGGACAGCTTTTTTGTCAGGGCAGAATTGATTAATTTATTAAAAATCATTTACCTCAGTTGTCGGTCCTGGCTGAAATCTGGACTAGCATGACACTGGTTGCTATCCTGTGCTATAGCAGCAGATGGAGCCATGTTCACAGCCTGTGGGAGCACAGCAGAATTGGTAAATTGTGAAGCTAGGCTGCTGGATGAGTGACTGGTGTTCTGCATTACTTGTGCACTTCTCATTGATTTCTGATTCTAGACCACAATTTTTAAAACACACACACACACACACACACACACACACACTCTCTCTCTCTCTCTCTCTCTAACTATAGATTTTTATTATGGCAGGGAATATGTGAGCAAAACCTATGGTGTGTTATAGGAGGTACCCTTGTGATATACTCTGATTGGACTTCAGAATAGAAAGGGCTATTTGGGCAGGAGAAGTGAATGACTGACATGTCCTGATCTGGTACATTACAGTTGTTTTCCTGGAAGTCTGGGGGCAAACTGGGGTCTGAGAACAACTGCACAGAGTGATGACAGGAAAGACAGTGAAAGTAGACAAGGAAAGCTAAAAAGAACAGGAGTACTTGTGGCACCTTAGAGACTAACAAATTTATTTGGGCATAAGCTAGTCTCTAAGGTGCCACAAGTACTCCTGTTCTTTTAGCGGATACAGACTAACACGGCTGCTACTCTGAAACCTGTCAAAGGAAAGGTAAGTCATTCCTGACCAGTTTTTGGAGAAAGACTTAAAAATCACATACGGTGATCATGTGACACAAGCATAACCTTAATTATTACATGATGAGGTGTGCCCTGTGTGTGTGGGTGTACACAGGCAGGTGCTATCGCAGTACAAATAATAAATTTTAAAAGTCTGTAATATGTTATTTATTATCCTCACATATGCACCACAACTATTTCACCATGTTTTATTTTATAGACTTTTCAGAGTATTTGACTCTAAAACCAGAGTACTCTGAAAGCAAAGCAGGCCCTGTACTTCTAAGAACCAGTTCTGGAAACACAGAAACCCCCAAGACAACACCAAAGCAAAATTAGAAGGGATCACTATTGTCACTTAAGCCCTGTGATGGGAATAAACCTTACTATGTAGAAAAGGATTTTTTTCAGGGTGGATTTGCTTTATATCAAATTGATTTAAATCACTAGTCAGGAAGACTCGATTTAATCATGGATTTCTACATAAAAGTGCATTCTTGTTAGTTGTTATACAACTCAGAGATAGATGTAGGTTTCATTTTTAGAAGATACACACTATACATTTTTAAAGTGATTTATTTTGAAAACTTTTCAGATTAGTTTTACAGCTATATCAGAAAATGAATGATTGTTTGGTTATTTCATTTACCAAAGGTAATTGAAGCAGATATTTATGAAGTCATTGGGAGGTGAACTATCTCCAATTCAAGAGGTTAATCATTAATATTTGGAGGATTTTCTTGCCATGCTGTATTAGGAGGAGAACATCACCAGACAGACATTTAAATTGTTTTATTTAACTAAAACAACAACTTTATGTATTCTGGATTTTTTTCTTCAATGGCAAACATATACTATTTTAACAAAATAAGCATATGGATTTTTGAATTTAGTTAAGCATTCAAGATTTTTAAAATCGGGGGGGAGTTTGTTAAAATTGTTTTTAACTAAAATAGTTAAATGAAATATATATTTTTTTAAACAAAAATTAAATCGACTATGTCAGCCAGGTCAACACGAGAAACTTAAAACATTGGCTTTTGCAGCTAACTCAGTCGTCTTCACCTTCATTTTCCTGTTTGTTCATAATCTGGAAAAGTAAAACAAGGTTTCCTTCTTTTTCAGATCCCAAATGATTTCTCAGTTTGGAATGCATTAGTCCAAAGGAAGAAAATATTCTTTCTACACTGGCAGAAGAAGCTACTGCTGTTAAAAGTGAGATTATCACTTCAGCAGTCTCTGAATCCAAGTGCTTAAGTGACTTCCACCAGTTCACTGGTGTGACTTTCTTTAAAACATCATCAGCAAACGTATTTCTTGAATGGTTCACCCTTAGCTCTGAAGTTTATTATGGTTGGCATTATGGAGGGACGATTGCTGGATGTCCATGTCATAGCCAGCTCCTCTTCTTCAGCAGTTAAGGTTTGACCCTGGTCCCGAGTATTGAGAATATTTGCAAGAAAATGAGCTGGAGATAGTGCTTGTCCCATTCGTTTTTTTAATGCTTGTAATTTAACTCTGTCATTGCATATTTCTCTTTTTAAGATCTCACTCGGTTCCTTCCAAATTTCAACAGCATCAGCAATAAAACAGCTATTTCCCTGCATTTTGTTCAAGGCTACAGAAATAGGCTTCAGGGTGCTCAGCATGTGTTCAACATTTCTCTTAAGCCCAATGTTGACAACTTTGGCTGTTGCAGTGCCATCTATTTTTTCACAATTTTGTTCACAAACTGTCATCAGATTAGGCCAGTTCTTGATATAGTGCTCAAAACAGTCCACTACTGAGTTCCATTGCACATCTTGTGGGAGAGTTAGCTTGGTTCCTCCCACTTTTTTCAGAGCAGCTGCTGCAAAGTGGTTGTTATGGAAGTATTTTGCAGTTTCAACAACATTAGTCTTTATTTCTGGAACACTGAAGTCTTTGGTTAGGAGGTGCATCAAATGAGCACTGCAACCGTATGTTATTAGCTTGGGACTCTCTTCTAAATTTCTTCTCATCTTGGATACATTTGCAGCATTGTCTGTGACCAAGCTGCGTACTAGACATTTGAATTTTTTTCCCACAGTTTGTTATAGCTTTTACTTCTACTTCTTGTAAATATTCTGCTGTCTGTGCATTTCCTGATGTATCAATTGTTTCTGTATCGACATTCCCTTCTTCTATTGTCACACAAGCACATACAGCAGGATCATTGTGGACATTGCTCCACGCATCAAGACTCAGGTTAACAATTTTACCCTCTAGACCTTCTGCACATTGCTCAATTTCTCTTTCATACACTTTCTCCAGCAATTTGCCTGCGACATCTGCTCTGTTGGGTGGACTGTATCCTGGTCTTAATGACTGAACCATGTTAATGAAGTGTGGGTTCTCAATCATACGGAAAGGAGAGTTTGTTGCATAAACAAACCGGGCAATTTTTTCATCAATTACCTCTTTTTGTAATCTGCTGGTTCTTATCACAAACTTATCTATGGTTGTTTCTGGATGATGGAGATTTTTTCTTCTTTTTGCTACAGGTGATATACTGTGGCTATGTGACATACATGATGTGACTGAAACACTATCATTGGCAGATAAGTCTGAAACTATAGAAAATGATGGTGATCTTGAAGGTGGATAGTCTTCAGAATCCTGTACGTTGAGGATGGATTCTCCTAAACAAAATAAGACAATGCAGTTATTTAATTATTATTACCATGCTGCTCATTTAGTATTACTCATTGCATTCACTGACACTCAGTACGACTTTAAAGGTTGAATTGTAAAAAGAAGATCTGCCTATTTCAGCTATTTATTTTTTATCACAACTGCATCTAAAATAGTACCATAGAGTAACAAATATATTTTTTGCTCAAACATGAGAATTCAAGAATAGTCCAGAAGGAAGACAGTCAGCCCTTAAGAGAGAAGTATGAAATAAAAAAGATTACCAACCTAAAGATCCTGTATGTTCAGATATGTTCCTTTCATCATCTTCAACGCAGCTTCCTCCTGAGAAGGAACACTTCTCATGATGTTGTTTCATTCGGGCAACCAGGCCTTGCATTTCTTTGGTGCACTGTTTGCATTTTGCACGCATGCGTGTCTTACCCACAGGTAGAGGAATTTCATTAAAATATTCCCAAACTGGGTCTCTTTTACGGCCTGCTGCCATTATAGGTTTTCCCTTCTAGTGAGAGAATGGTATGGTAGATCTCAAATCAATGAAGGCTACACTCAGAAAGACCTCAAGACTTCTGGAATATGCTGCTCAAACAGTTCACTTTTGTTTCTACTGCCTGTCCCTCCCTTCTCACATTTATCTCCAGACTTCTTCTCCTTGTCCAGATCTATTCCGCCCCCAACAATCTTCTATTCATTGAACTTTTTGAAACTTTGCACTTTTAGAGAGAGGTAAGGGATTGACTCTGTGTACACAAATTTGATAGGGACAAAAGGCTTCAGGTCTGTTATTTCTCACCTCTATATATTATTTATTTATTTATTTATGTAAAAACATGTTTGCTGTTAACAAGCATGTTATCTCTGGAGACACAAATCCAGTTTGAGAACTGCAAAACTAAGCATCTCTGATGGTATCTTCTAGACTGAGCACTGAGTCCCATTGGGTAGATAAAAAGATTAAACTAAATAATCTATACAGAAGCCCCTGGAACCCCCATAAGATTGGGTCCCTAATCCATGAACTATTGAAACTCATTTACAAAACTTTTCTTAAACATTACATGAATATATGGTCTCATAATACAGAATTAGAATTTATAATCCCTATTCCATGATGAGATACCTTTGAGCTATAATGTATCTTAATTAAAGCTATTTTTAGATACATTGTTTCCTCAAAAATAATTTTATCAAAAAATTCCGATTTAAATAAAAAAAAATCCGATTTTTTTGATTTTTAAACAAAATCGTTGATTTTTATCCACCCTGATTTTTTTTTATTATTATAAACCATGGGAGCATTTTAATAGACTTGTTATAACACAAGGGCACAGGAGGTTAAGAGGTACCACTGCGTGATTTGAAGGTACAGTTGTAAATGTGTTCACCGAACAGCAGTAGGTGAACAGAAATAGGGGTGTGTGCTGGGATCATGCTGAAGAAGGAACAATGGAAATGCAGAGAAAGCTCTGCAATAAGGCAGAAAGATAACTATGCTGAGCATACTCGCAGAATCACAGCTCTCAATTACTACTAGTTAAGAGTTTAATTTTATTTCTCTGGGCTGGAGTCTGTTGCTCTTGTAAGATGGTGTTCTCAGTTCAGTTCCTTATGGGCAAGCCCCACACATCAACAATACACCATCATAACTAGCCATAAATAGGCTGTGTTGATGGTCTCAGGCCACGACTGACTGGTCAGCGAACTAGCCACCAGGACAAGGTTAAAGCACTTTTTTGGTGCTGGAAAGGTTGCCTTGCTGTTGCAGATACTGCCAGTCTCCGTGGTTGTCAACCTGTCACCTTTCATGAACAATAAAAGCAAAATAGGTCTCCACACACTCCCCTGTTCAGTTTTAAAACAGAAACAAGCTGGCTGCATAATGCTCCTGGTTCAGATCTTTAAAAAAACCAGATCTTAAAGTAAAGGAGAAAGCTATGGGGAGAAGCTTTTGTTTAGAAGGAAAGATAAAAAAGGCCACACATTTCTATTTACAATACTGATGGCGTTATCTGTGATCACTCAGTAATGACTTCAGTGGCTTGTATCCATATTCATTTCTTTGTAGTGAAATAATATGTTTACCTGGCTTGATACCACATTTGCTTCTCTTAATATTTGCTGGTTTGCTGGTTGGGAAGATGCAATTTGCCCTTGAAGTTGAGGACTGGGGATAAGCTGCTGCTGAGAAATGACCCTTGACCTCTGCTGTAGCTGCTGAGGATCTGGCTGCTGTATATTGCTAAAGCTCAGGGACACTGTTGGCTGCTGTAAAAACATCTGGAAAAAAGAAGAACTTTTTTTTCTTTTTCTCTGAAATAAGCTCTTATATCCTAAAAGGAAGATCATAATATTTCTTAATTAATTAACATTGTGCTATAGTTAATTGTGTATCATATGCCCTTTGTAGAATATACATTGTGCAATCTTTTTTTTTTTAAAGTATATTCACTGTTCATGAATGGTGCCCGAAGGCTGAAGTCCTCCCTCCACACAGCAAAGCACAAAATTGTAGCAGCAGTTCAATGGGCATTAACTCTGTTCTGGAGGGACCACCTGTGGGGATAGAAGAGTAATTCTGTGCCCATTCAATCCTTGGCCTCTCTTTTTAGCAAAGAAAGCTGAGGCTGTGTCATGTTATTTACTTGAACTGGGACCGTATAGAACATGGTTGCAACCAAGGTCCTATAGTGGCACCAAATCTTGTATAAAGGGGGTCAAATGAGGTGTCTAAGACAAGGTTATGGTTTGCTGGTTATGATTATGTTGTCTATATGTGTGTATCAATTTTGTAGTTGAAGTTATGAATATCGGCTGTATACTGTCTGTATTTCAAACTTATGCTATGCTTCTGGGAGACATCCCAGACAAGTTGGTGTTAGCTCTGCCTAGCCTGCTTGATGGCCCATTAAGGACCATCAGCTATACAATTGACCCATTGAGAGAAGACAAATACGCCTTGCAACTCAGCAAAGTATGCAGGGACTGGCCCATGTGACTCCAGACTCCATTTTGCTGTAATTTTCCGCAGTAAGGACAAAGAGGTGTTCTTACACCTGGAAAGGACTATAAAAGGCTGATGCCTCTCCTCCATCTTGTCTTCAATCCTGCGTCTTACCTCTGGAGGGACTTTGCTACAAACTGAAGCTCTACATAAAGGACTGAATGACCCATCCCAGCTGGGGATGTATTCCAGAGACTTGATTTGAACCTGCAGTTTCTTCTATCACTGCTACAAGCCTGACCCAAGAACTTTGCCATTACTGTATGTAATTGATTCCATTTAATCAATTCTAGCTCTCATCTATATTTTTTCCTTTTATGAATAAACCTTTAGATTTTAGATTCTAAAGGATTGGCAACAGCGTGATTTGTGGGTAAGATCTGATTTGTATATTGACCTGGGTCTGGGGCTTGGTCCTTTGAGATCAAGAGAACCTTTTTTCTTTTACTGGGGTGTGGGTTTTCATAACCATTTGTCCCCATAACGAGTGGCACTGGTGGTGATACTGGGAAACTGGAGTGTCTAAGGGAATTGCTTGTGTGACCTGTGGTTAGCCAGTGGGGTGAGACCAAAGTCCTCTTTGTCTGGCTGGTTTGGTTTGCCTTAGAGGTGGAAAAACCCCAGCCTTGGGCTGTAACTGCCCTGTTTAAGTAATTTGTCCTGAATTGGCACTCACAGTTGGATCCTGCCAGAACTGCATCGTTACAGGCTGCCTTCAAATTTGTCTCCGATAGTTCAACACCATAAAGGAGTGTCTGGCTGAGTCTTTTTAATGATGTCACAGCCAGGCACAAGCTCCCAATGTTGCATGGCTTGTCCCTTGTCCCTGAAAAGATATGTGTGGCTATGTCTACTCTATGGAGCCTATGTCGGCATAGGTATGCTGGCATAGCCCCCTAGTGTGGACACAGCCTACACCAGGGGTTCTCAAACTTCACTGCACTGCAACCCTCTTCTGACAACGAAAGTTATTACACGACCCCAGGAGGGGGACTGAAGCCTGAGCCTGCCCCAGGCAGGTGGGAGGGGGCAAAGCCAAAGCACTTCAGCCCCAGGTGAGGGGCCTGTAACCTGAGCCCTGCCGCCCAAGGCTGAAGCCTTTGGGCTTTGGCTCCGGGCGGTGGGGCTTGGGCTTCGCCTTCAGCCCCAGGCCCCAGCAAGTCTAATGCCAGCCCCACTTTGGGGTCCCGACCCACAGTTTGAGAATCGCTGGCCTACACTAATAGAAAGAAACATCCCCCACCCCCGCAACGATATCAGTTACATCAACAGCAGCGCTCTTCCCTCAACATAGCTGCATTTACACTGGGGAGTAGGTCAGCGTAGCTATGCGGGTCGGGATGTAGTTTGTTCATGCCCCTGACCAGCAGAGCTATACCAACATAACTTTTAAGTGTAGACCAAGCCTTAATAAATTGGTGAGCACTATACTTCGGTCTAACTTCCAGTCAGATAACCATCTCCTGGTGTTACGCCTAGTCAGGTCATGAGGGGCACTTAAAATATTATGACAAAAAGCTAACAGAGCATCTGTTATCTACTCAGTGCTTCTGTAAACAATTCGACAAAGTGATGCAGTCTTAAAAGTCTTAAAAGTTGCAGTTTCTTTTGTTTTTCTAGGGGCTATTTCTATTGTTACGGTAATGCAGAAAAAAAAAAGCCATCATTTTAAACAGTATCTTATTAATGTTGCAAGTTGTCTTTGTAGTGTTTAAAACCTAGTCAGAGATCGACATGCCACATCAGAGGCTGCAGACATTCTTCGGTCCGATTCTGATTTCACACCAGTTTTACACTTACGTAAAACTATTAATTTCAATGGAGTTACTCATGATTTACCTTGGTTTAGATGAAATCAGAATCACAATTCCTTATTAGCCTCATGCCTTACAACGCATCTGAAGTATGTCCAGTAATGTACACCTTGTATTACCAATTCCCTAAACTGTCACATCCCTTACACTTCCTTTTTGAAAAGACAACACACCTTTCTTTAACAGAGCTGACATGGTAAATTGTGTTTCCTTTGTGTAAGTATGTTTTGGTGCATCATATAAGTACGTATTTACCTAATTTTTAAAATACATATGACTTGTTCATTAAATTAGGTTAGTTTAAAAATGTCTATATTATTTTTATTGAAAAAAAGATCCACTCCCAACCTGACCTCTTTTATGCCAAGTTTTAGCTCAGATAAAAAGTTACAGTCAAATTAAAAACCTTTAAATTAAAAGCAAGAAGCAATTAATGGAAATGTTGATAGACCGTAAAGTAACGGTCCTAGTGGCAGTTTTTCTATAGGCCGATGACACCTTCAAAAAAGTTTGTATTAAATACATAGGTCATGTAATGGAGTTGTGACTGCTCACAGGAGGTCTGAATTTAGCTCATAGTGTTTTATTTTTTGAAACATAGCTCATTAAAAGATGCTAAATGAATCTGGGGTTCTTAATCATCAGTCCAAAGGGCTTCACTAAAGAGAGAATCAGAACACTGGTCATGCAGGTGCAGTGGATATTTCAATTTGCTAGTTAAACTTAAAAACAAGAAAACATTACATACTTGTACAACATTTACCAGTAATTTTTTCACAAAATATTTAATTTATGGTAGTCCTATCTGGGTTCCTTTTAAATACAGTGATACCACAGCATAAAATAACTACTACAATCTCACAAAGTAGAAAGAAACACTCCTCAGACTGAGCATATCCAAATAGATAAACTAGCAATGCCATCTCTGAACTGCATATAATGACATGTCTCAGGACTGACATCAGGAGAAGCATCTTGCAAATCTTTCTTAATTGGCCACCTTGTTAGCATTCTCAACCAATTAGCCAAGGAGCTAATGGACATGGAAGCACAGCTGCCCTCTCATTCCTAGAGGGATTTCCTCCACCTCATGGCTGAATCACATTGGCAAGGCAATATGAGAAAGCTTGAACTGCCACTGTCAAACTCTTGCTGTTCTGTAGAAATCCAGAAGTTTTTACCCTCCAGGCAGGACCGCCCAGAGGATTCAGGGGGCCTGGGGCAAAGCAATTTCAGGGGCCCCTTCCATAAAAAAAAGTTGCAATACTATAGAATACTATATTCTCGTGGGGGCCCCTGCAGCCCCGGGGCAAATTGCCCCACTTGGCCCCCCCCCCTCCCCGGGCGGCCCTCGGAAAAATAAACATTTAAAAACCTTAACCATCTCGGCACAAACCCTGTTTTGAGAAAACTTCTTTTCAAGTCACCTTTACAAGGTATCACTGGTTCTCAGCATCAGCTAGTGCTAAAAGGGACTAAAGCTCATTAAAAGGGTTGGACAAATATTTTCGGTCAAAACTTTTTTTGGATCGAAAACTAGGGGTTTTTAAAAAGCAGAATAAAATCACGGACAATGTCTGCTTTCCTTCAAAATTTGTTGTGGTTTTTTTAATTGAAAAGCTGAAATTAGTCTGCCAAAACCTGAACATGGTTTGGAGTTTCAGAAGTGTGTGGCCAAATATTTGCTGCTTGCTGTGTTTGATTGTTTAAAGAAACAATAAAAAAATTCTGCTTAAAAAAAATCCAAAACTTTTGAACCAAACGCCTGAGCCCATCCAGTCAGAGATTTTTCCAGGTTTCTGATACTCTGCTGGCCTCCTTGACTCATATCTGTCTCCATAACTTTGGGTTCATTTAGGTTAGAACATAAGAACGGCCGTACTGGGTCAGACCAAAGGTCGATCCAGCCCAGTATCCTGTCTACTGACAGTGGCTAATGCCAAGTGCCCCAGAGGGAGTGAACCTAACAGGTAATGATCAAGTGATCTCTCTCCTGCCATCCATCTCCACCCTCTGACAAACAGAGGCTAGGGACACCATTCCTTACCCATCCTAGCTAATAGCCATTAATGGACTTAACCTCCATGAATTTATCTGTTTCCTAGAGACTGGCTCCATGGGGTCCCTCACAAACTGGAGAAGGTTACTGTGGATTTGTCTTTAGTATAGACTATGTACATACGCCACAAACTGAGCATTTGAGCTTCTTCCAGAATCTGGGATGAGCCTATGTTGTGAAAACTGAAATGCTCAAAATAGCACATGCATGTGAATGGACACAGGGTGCTAAAATTAAATTAACCCAGGGGGTCTCAAACTGGGGTTTGGGACCCCTCAGGGGGTCACAAGGTTATTACTGGGGGTTGCGAGCTGTCAGCCTCCACCTCAAACCCCACTTTCCCTCTAGCATTTATAATAGTGTTAAATATATAAAAAAAAGTGTTTTTAATTTATAAGGGGGG